GAAGTGAAGATAAGTCCACTCAATGTTTTTTAATGCAGTTGGTCAATTACCAAATTCTTTTTGCGTAGGTTAAACTGACTAAATTAACCGTCATCTATGGCAACAACATTTTTCAACCGGATTAGTGGTTTAGGAGCTATACATTAGTTTCTATACAAATACGCATAATTTCTTTAACTATAAAAAATTTTTAAATTATTTCATCTTGATATTTGTACCGAAAGTTTTTTTTTGTTATTTTGAAAATTTTTTATAATTAATGAAATTATGCGTATTTGTGTAGAAACTAATGTATAGCTCTTAAAGCACTAATCCAGTGTGAAAATGTTGTTGACATAGATGACGGTTAATTTAGTCAGTTTAACCTACGCAAAAAGCATTTGGTAATTGACCAACTGCATTAAAAAACATTGAGTGGACTTATCTTCACTTCTTTAAAGAAAAGTAAACTTACTTTATCGCAACTACTACTTGATTATATTTTGACTTCATATTCGGATTCGACGGAAAGTTTTACTTTAGAAGTGTTGGTCAAATGTCCAAGATCGGAAAATGTATTTATTTCTGTAAACTTGTATAAATAAAAAAAAAATAAAACTTATCAATTAATTTCTGAATAATAATAATAATAAAGCCGTGCAAAGGAAAATGTAAATATTTGATGTATGTAAGTAAGAAAATATAGATAAAGAAAATCGTTAAAACGTCAGGGTATTTATATCTTTGTCGCTGACTACATGTATCTCCTATGTATGTGGTAAAGTACTCACTTTCAATCCGTGAATAGATGTAAATTCAACGATTAGATTGTGAGGGTATTATGGGCAGCTTGGCAATCGATCTCAGCGGATTATAGCCCACCAATAAATATTACAAGTTACTTCTAACTTTTGGACCATAACCCAGCAGCAGATTCATGTAGTTGTACGACTTTACACTCACCATATCGGCAAGATTTTTGACGTTCTAAAAATCATAAGTATGTTATATATTTGCTTCTCTTTGTTAAAAAGTACTAAAGAGCGTACAAACATATAGTTTTTGCAAAACTGTGTACTTACTATTCTTTACATTCTCGGATAAGTTAAACAATCTTTACAAGATACAAGAATCGTTTGATTAACTGCATGGTAATAGTTCCCTTTTGATATACTGGTGGTTGACCCGGCATGGGTAATGAAAGTATTTTTAGCCCCAGAGATGTAGCGTTAGACTATGTTCAAACAGGCACCTAATTGGCAATTAAGCACCTTTTCACCAATTAAAGCCTTAATGGTTAACCAATTTACCATATAAAATTTCATTTTAATAATTGCCAATTAATACTTAATTGACAATTAATTTGTCTCCGATTCTCTATGCAACCCTGTGAAGTATGTTTAATGAGACGAGCAAAGGGTATGTTTGATGAGAAAACGAAACGACATGAAAACGAAATGACATTTCAATATTATTAAACAAAATGAACCAGAATGGCGGATAAAATTGATGGTGAGTAAATTTAAACAAATTTTCAATAACAATGTAGTTAAAATAATCACCTTTTTTATTTTTATTCATTGTAGAACCAAAACCGAAAAGAAAAAGAATGGGATGGAGTGAGGGGGCCGAGGTCGCTGTGCTTGAGCTGTGTGAGGAGCGCGCAGAGGAGCTCCGTGGGCTGAGAAAGAATGCTCACGTTTACGCGGAGATGGCGGCTGACCTCTCCAAGCTTGGATACAATCACAGCTCAAGAGACGTGCAAGTGAAGCTGCAAAACTTTTCACAACGCTAGAGGTAGGTTCATATAAGAATAAAATGCAATATAATTTTTGAATTCAAACTTAGGGCCGGTTACTCAATGTCTGGTTAACACTAATCTGCGGTTAAACATCGTTATCGACTCGCTGTTATATGCATGGAGTCGAAGACGTCGATAACGATGTTTAACCGCAGATTAGTGATAACCACACATTAGTAACCGGCCCTTACTGCCCGTCTCCACAGGATAAAGTTTATATCTTGATACATATGTCAGAATATAATTTGCCAATGGAGACCGCTTATTGCTCTTCGGGAGCAATATATATCAGAGCTTATATCTTGCCATCTATTGCCGGCAATTTGGTAGTTTGACAGCTACGTTTTCATTTGAACGAAAACTTCGTGGCTACAACATCATTAATATTTTAATATAAAAGCAAAAATTGAGCTGCTTCCTGTTAAAATATTTGTAATTATGTATTTGGATGTAAACTAGCCTATTTTCTAAATTTTTTAAGCGATTAAATCCGGCAAAAATACGTTTTCGAAGCTATCTTACAAATGCTTATATCAAGATATAAAAAGCCCACACAAATATTGCCACTGATATAACTTATATCTAGCAACCAAAATGACAGCTGGGCAGCAATAAATTTTATCCTGTGGAGACGGCCAGTTAGGAAAGAAAAGGCAGAAATGTGTCCTTCTGGTGGGTCGCCTTCAACATGGGTGCACTTTGAAAGGGTGCATTCAATAATCGGTGCATTCAAGGCGAACCTGTACAAAGATTTGACGCTTGAAAGCATTGATGGTACGCATATGGTATGCATGTTTTGGTTTATTTGCAACATTTGCATACATGTACATAACAGGGGGTCAATTCCCGTTCTGCATTATCTATCGTGAAGTGAAATGTTAAAAATGCACACCGAAATAAGTGCAGTTTTTTTATCACTTCACAATATTCGCAGACCAGAACTGTCCCTCTGTACATATGTATATCTACGTACATATGTATTATGATGGAATTTTACAAGGTGTTGGACATTGACTGGCTCCTTTAACTAATGGCGTTGTCGTTTCTACCAAAAAATTGTACCTTCTCATTGTCCGCTTCGCTCAAACAGCAAAAAGAGAGCAACGAGAAGGCAAAGTTTTTTGTAGAAAAGAAAACGCCATTAGTCAATGTTTCCTTTTCGAAAACAGTGCATTTTACCAGCTTTAAAATAGCTAAGCTACCTCACTTCTAAACAAATGTGGATTTACAACTACTGAATAAATCTTTGATTAATTTCCAATCGTTTACAATCGCATATTAAATTATTTTTAATTTCGGTTGTTTATACCCTTGTGAGGCAGATTTTACTGTTTATTTGCTTAAGTACCTTGCACAATTTCATCATGGGAGCATAATGCCGGCATACCAGAAACCACATATGTAGATGTTTCAAAGATTGCACAAAGTTCTTAAAATTAAAAAAATTTGCATACAAATTAATCAAACTTTTTAATCATAATGTAGAAAATTATGCAATTTTTTAGCCCATTAAATTTTAGTCTAACAAAGGCCAAGTTTAAAGTCGCTAAAATTGCCGTTGATTTTTGAGAACTTTTTTTGTCGAGGGTGTTGACCATTTTCTTTCATATAACACAGGAACAAAATCTATTTTGTTTGTTGAGCATTTTCTCCCATATAAAGTATGCTCGATATTTACTTTTATATGGAGAAAAATGCCTACCACCGTCAGCAAAAAAAATTATTAAAAATCAACGCGATTTTCTAGCGATTTAAAATTTTCACTTTAAACTAGTAAATTTATAAAACTGTATACCTAAAATTTTGTAATAAATAATAATAATTCGGGTGTAATTGTTAAAGTTTGTTGAATTTTTATAATTTTTGTATGAAGTTCGAAATGTGGATTTATGTGGCGCTTGTTATGTACTGTGCTAGACTTTTATATGCAAATTATAAACATTAAATAAACAAAAGAAAAATAACCAAAATGTCACTTAACTTAATCAGCTGACCACAAGTGTATGTACATATATACAATACGCAAAAATTTGTTTCATTTTACAATTTAAAAAACTTTTGNCAGTTGGTCAATTACCAAATTCTTTTTGCGTAGGTTAAACTGACTAAATTAACCGTCATCTATGGCAACAACATTTTTCAACCGGATTAGTGGTTTAGGAGCTATACATTAGTTTCTATACAAATACGCATAATTTCTTTAACTATAGAAAAATTTTAAATTATTTCATCTTGATATTTGTACCGAAAGTTTTTTTTGTTATTTTGAAAATTTTTTATAATTAATGAAATTATGCGTATTTGTGTAGAAACTAATGTATAGCTCTTAAAGCACTAATCCAGTGTGAAAATGTTGTTGACATAGATGACGGTTAATTTAGTCAGTTTAACCTACGCAAAAAGCATTTGGTAATTGACCAACTGCATTATAAAACATTGAGTGGACTTATCTTCACTTCTTTAAAGAAAAGTAAACTTACTTTATCGCAACTACTACTTGATTATATTTTGACTTCATATTCGGATTCGACGGAAAGTTTTACTTTAGAAGTGTTGGTCAAATGTCCAAGATCGGAAAATGTATTTATTTCTGTAAACTTGTATAAATAAAAAAAAATAATAAAACTTATCAATTACTTTCTGAATGCGAATAAATAAATAAATTTTTTCAATAAAAAGTTATGGAGAAAGAATAACTTTTACTTCCCAAAATAAGAACACAACGATTGTCTTATGATTTCAGCTGAGGCTTCGTTATCACCAAGTACAACATTTTGCGAAGGGTTTTCCCGATTTCGTTCAAATTATTCCAAATTTCCCAACCATATTTGATTAATATTATCACATTCTTCGTTTAAAAAGTTGTGTAAAACACAGCAAGCTCGAATAATCATCGGCGTGTTCCCTATTCGGTTATCTAAGCCTTTTCCAATGCGACGAAAACGGACTTTTAAATGACCGAAAGCATTCTCTACCACTCTTCTGTACTTTGAAATAATTTGAATAATTTTTGTCTCTCTGTCAAGGCCGTAGAAAAGGCGTATGGTTTCATTAAAGTGGTGGAAAAACGAAATGCCGAATCCCCCAAGATACAGACCGGCATTTGTACACCACATATATTCTTCTTAATGGCCGCCAATACTTCGTCCTCAGTTAACATCTTTTTAAGTAAGGATTAATTATATATTTGGGAGTCATTGCAACGTCCCGGAGCACCAATATTTATATATAAAAAACGGTCTCTGTGCATATATTCTTCTTATTGGCCGCCAATACTTAGTCCTCAGTTAACACCTTTTTAAGTAGGGATGGATTATATATGTGGGAGTGATTGCAACGTCCCGGTGCACCAATATTTATATATAAAAAACGGTATCTGCGCATATAATATTTTGTTATTAAACAATGAAATAAACGGGAATAAAGAAATATATTTTTTACCTGTAATCCACAAGCGCAAGAAGTACAACAGAATACCATCCCTTATAATTGTAATAGTCAGTTGCATCAGTCGTGTTTGGTTTTATTTCGATGTGACATCCATCTAAAAAACAGGAAAAGAATTTGTAAATTAATGTCTACATTTTTTAATATTAACATGGGAAATCTTCCATTTGCCTACCAATTGCTCCCAGACATTGTGGAAAGCCACGGCGATGAAAACCATTCACACATTCAGCAACTATTTCTTGCGTGGGTGGCAATTTCTTTATATACTGTGTGGACAACGCTTGCCACACTTCTTCGCAGAATTCCATCAATATTGCACACACAGTTGATTTGCCAACACCAAACAATTCATATACTACTCGATACTCTCCAGCTGAACAAAGGGCAAATAAAGCGATTGCTACTCGTTTTGCAATGAAATTGCCGTGCGCCAGCTTGCATCGGCTTTTTTTTTTTAATTGCCGAGAAAGCCACAGAGTGTGTTAAAACTGGCACGTGTCATGCGAAAATCGGGTTTGAAAAAGTGGTCATCATTGCAGCTGCAGTTGACCTCCCAAAAAGAAGATTGCCGATTCTGTAAAAAGGAAACATTATTGATTGGAACAAAAACTGAAACTTATTTCAATTTAATTTACCAGCTTCTACAGCGACCTTTGAGTTGCATTTTGTTCCAATGCTGCTAGGATCAGTAGCTGCTGCATCCTTAAATTTGAAGGACTAGCAAATTATTTCTCCTTCTTTTTCTCAACAATGCCAAGCTGCTATCAAATTTTGACAGTATTGACTGCTAGTAAAATTCGTCCTAAACTCAAGTTTTCTCTATTTTCCGCGCCGAATTTTTCACAAGTAAAATCAAAACACACAGCTGTCAAATACTAATTGCATAAGCTAAATTGTATGTGTGTGAACACAAAACTCAATGCCCCAAATAAAAGCTTAATTGCCTCACCTAATTGGCCTGTTTGAACATAGTCTTAGCTTCCACTTGCAAGCCGCTATTTGGTATTTCATGTCTCGACAATTCCTGTGATAGATTAAAAAACATCGCAATAACGTGCGCTAATTCTGGTATAAAATAGGCTGGATAAATTGTCTTTTGCTGCTTGGCAGGTGGTCCAAGTTCACTATTCGATTTACGCTTGTGTGGTGGCAGTTCTATTGCGAAATAAAAAGAGAATAATATGAGCAAAATGGAGTATACAAATCTGTTTAAAGTTATTACCATCCACATCCATGCCAGGGCCATGTGTGGCGACAACAGTATCAAATTCGATTAGACGCAGCAGCTTCGTGTATACTTTTGGTACTTCAGAGCTTACAGTTGGGGGATAGGAAGGAGGATTCGAACTGCAAACCAAACGCGTATTTTGCGATTCCTCTGCTGTAATCATGGGCGTAGCCAGGTAGGGGCAGGGGGGGAGGCCCGGGCCCCCCCTCCTAACTTTCAAATATTTGCCTAGATATTCAAAAATACTACCACGAAATGCTTGCTTGATAATTTCGGCCCCCCCTAAATTTCAAGGTTTTTCCTATATATATACTGTATAACAAATTATACTCCCAACGCTAACTAAATAATTAGTAAATTGATTTGAAAAGTAGATATGTGGATCATCCGGTTCTGTATCAAGTTATTATCTCTAACTTCAAAGCACTTCCATTTTAAAAGGGTAAAAACCTGGCTGCAGTCGACAATGAGCAAAAATTGATTGAACGGAAACTATAAATAAATTTATAGTTCAATTGTTTATTACTTTGTCTTTAGGTTTGTGTCTTTACTAAGCGGTTGGGTGAACAGCCAAGACGTTTACTTCTAAAGTGTGACAAAACAAAATCAAGTAATATATTTAGCATAAATAAATATACCAGCCTAAAAAATCTGCGTACTCAAAATGTTCAATACGCCCTCATACTTATACATACATACATATGTATGTATATCATTTAACGTTTTGTCCGGCTATTTGGTTTATTATACAGGTATGTAGAGCGAATTTAAAAAAATTCATCAGGGTTTAGTTGAGATATTCGTTTTTGGCCACTATGTTTTGTACATTTCCCAGTACTGCAAAGCTTTTGACGGCCATTCACCTGGGAGTGGCCAGAAGTGATTCGTGTGCTTACGGTTCAAATCGCAGCTAACTACGTCCGGATATTTATATCCATGAATACTCTGGGTAGCGACCGAACGCTAGTTTGGGAGCGAGGTAAAGTGGGAGGGCGTAACACCCCGCGTGCGCTGGGGATTAATCGGGATGGTGCCTCTGCCCGGCTGGTTGAAGTCCTAGGGAAAATAAAGGCTGACATCAGCTCCATCCACGAAATGCGATGGACGGGGCGAGGAAGGTAAGCGTGAGCCTTGCGACGTCTACTACAGTTGCCACGTAAAGGAGTGCAATTCGGTGTTGGATTTGTGGTGGGAGAGAGACCGGCGTTCACTCTAGTGGACGAAAGTCTAGCCACAATCCGCATCAAAGCGAGATTCTTCAACATCTCATTCACATGTGCCAATGCCCCGATGGAAGAGAAGGACGAGGCATCCAAGGCTCTCTTAGCTTAGAGCGTACATATTAGCGCTGCCCCCGACACGTATAAAAATCGTGCTTGGCCATTTAAATGCCAAGGTGGGCAACGAAGGGATCTTTGGTGCCAGTGTCGAAAAAATCAGCCTCCACATAGAAACGGTGGGCTGAGGATGATCCACTTCGCCGGGGCCCGAAGCTTGGCAGTATGTATTACTGGGTTCTAGCATAAAAACATCCATCAAGCTATTCTCATTTTCGTTGTTGGTGTTTCCGACAGGGTAGGAGTGTGATGTATTGTGGAACGATTTTCCGTCGTCCCTTGTCAAATTTGGTTTGGAGACAAACCGGTTTCGGCGTTGTTCCATCTTCAGTGTCATTTTTCGTTCTCTCAAGCTACATGGATGTCTCCACATCGAAAAACGGGAAACCAAATCGAGCATGTTGTGATAGACGGAAGACATGCTTCCATGTTTTAGATGTACATACGTACACTCCGAGGGCCAAACATCGACTCGCACTACTATATTGATGCATCCAATATACGACCTAACCTCGGAGAAGCAAAAAAAGGGCCCCCAACAATGCAGGGAAAGTTCAACGTCGAAAAGCTGCAATCAAAACAGACGGCCAATGGATTCGGCGCTCGACCCTCACACCTGCTGTGAGAGAGCACTCTTCAACAAACCGACTTGCGCGAGCAGTGGAACCACATTTCCCGCTAATTACTGGTACGATCACGAGTGTGAGAAAATGCTTGAAATGCTGTCCGACAGAAAAAACACCCGAAATTTTTAGCAGAGAGTTGAGCGACTTACGGAAGGTTTCAAGACTCTTGTATGAACAACCATGGCGACCTAGTGACCGATGTCCAGAACGTACTCAGATTATGGAGGGAACACTTTTCGACCCTTTTGAATAGCGGAAGCACTTCGAGGTCCCAGTCGATGACGATGGAGTCGATATCCCAGCGCCTGACTATGAAGAAAAGTGCCAAAGCTGTTTGAGCTGACGGCCTGTCAGCTGAGCTATTTAATTACGATGGCAAGGAGGTAATAAGGTGCATGCCCGACGACTGGAATTCAAGTGCGCTCTGCCCAATCCACAAGAAAGGCGACCCCGCCATGCGTACCAACTACCGCGGGATCAGCCTTCTAAGCATAGGTTGCAAGGTATGTATTGTTGTATTGTCTACCATAGACCAGGTATTCACAGTACGCCGAATCTTGGAAAAGACCCGCGAGAAAATGATCCGCACTCACCACCTATTTGTCGACTTTAAAGCCGCTTTCGACAGTACTTAAAGGTATATGCCGCTATGTCTGTCATACGCCTGTGAAAAATGACGTTGAGTAATACCACCAGCTCTGCTCTGTTGCCTTTCGCCACCAGACGGGGTTTCAGACAGGGCGGCTCTCTTTCATGTGGCTTCTTTAATCTGATGTTGGAGAAGATAATAAGATCTTCAGAACTGAACCGCTTAGGAACAATTTACTACAAGAGCGTACAATTGCTGGCTTATGCCGATGACACTGACATCATCGGTAAGAAAAACCGCGAAGTCTGTCCTGACTTTTCCAAGTTGGACAAGGAGGCAAAGCGAATGGGTCTGCTGGTAAACGACGACAAGACGAAGTATATCCTGTCATCAAACAAACAATCAGCACATTCGCGCCTGGCACCCACGGCACTTTTGACAGTTATAATTTCGAGGAAGTAGAGAATTTCGTTTACTTGGGAACCAGCATTAACACCTGTAATAATGTCAGCATGGAAATCCAACGCAGAATCGCTCTTGCCAACAAGTGCTGCTTTGGACTGAGTAGGCAATTCAGGAGTAAAGTCCTCTCTCGACGTACGAAAACCACACTATAAATCACTCATCATGCCCGTGCTGGTATGTGGCGTATTAAAATACAGCGGCTCAACTGGCTTGATCATGTCGTTCGAATGGACACCGACGCCCCAGCTCTGCAAGTATTCTGGCTTCACTTGGCATTTCTAATAGGCGTCAGTTGGTCAAAATCGCTTTGGCGGTTACAGCGCCAAAAAGGAAGAAGAGGAAGAGAATAGATCTATAACCTTATCAGTCACACAGTGTTATAATCCCGACGAAATCCTTGACGGTGGTACCGGGAGGGGAACGGTACATGACGGTAGGAATTTTAGTTTGGGTTAAAGTCTCACACGGAAGGGGTTAGGCTTTCGATGCTTCCTCCTCGTAAAATAAACATGCTCAGTAAAAAGTTAACAATTTAAATCGACGAATAGTTTTATATCAACTTTTGTGAACTTCTGTTTATTTGTTTTTTGTACAACATATTTACCTTTATTGGTTACAATAATTTTAAGCTATAATAAAAAAAATTTTAGTACATAAGTAAGTTATTGGTTTTGAATTTTTTATTTTGTATGGGCCCCCCCCTAAATTTCGTTCTGGCTACGCCCATGGCTGTAATATCGGTCTCAGTAGTTTTATATTCGACAAAGCCCAAATTAAATGTGTATTCCATTTCATTTGGCGTATTGGGGTTTTCTTTAACTGAACCACCTACAAAAGAGGAAAATTTGAACATTGAGATGTTGATGCAATTTAACATAAATTTTATGTCGCCCGGGTTGCAAAAGCAGATTATCCGGTAACGTTAGGAAGGGTTATGTCTCGGTTAAAGCCGCTGATAAATGCTGGAAAGTAAATGCTGGACATAATTTTCTGGAATTAAATTTTATCGGCGTTGAAGAAAGTTTACATTTCGGGCATAATGGGGCAGTCCAGATACTTTGGCACGTGGCACTTTAGCATTCCGGTGTGCGTAATTATTTTCACACCTGGTACATATTCTTCAATGTTCATATTGTCATCCAAACGTTAATAACTGGGACGGAGCGTTTGTGTGTAAAGTACGTTAAGCTGCAGAGACTGACAAAAGTAGCGTGCCTGTATGAGCTGGTGAATATAATTAACTTGAAGTTGATGCCCCAATGCCTTGGCATCTGATAAACATTCATAAAGAACAGAGACATAACTATTATAAGAGAAAAGCATAAAAGTCAATCAATAATCATTATGTTAAGATACATATTTTCGAGTCATCTATAAAGGTTATTCAAAGACTTACACCCCTATTTTGCAACTGTTTCGTATTCGGATTTTGCCACGAATCGTAGAAATAGTATGCTGAAATCCGAGTCGTATTTTCGAACTTTCGAAATTCGTAACAATGGCATGCCTAAAAACGAACGAGTAAGCTTTTTTGCGTAATTTTGTACGAAAACAATTTTGTGTCGGAGGCGAAATAAAATATGAGAATTGATGTGGGTTTGCAAGAAATATTGGTGGTGTTCATTTAAACAGATAAATTTTCCTTTCGCATATACGTATATTTTTATCCACTGTTTTATATAAACGAGCAAATAAGAATATTTGTTGCCCCTTATCGAGAAACTTGGGTCCGGTTTAGTTAATGTACAACGATTTTCGGTTGTTGTGTCCAAACGCCAAACCCGAATCCAAAAACTTTAACATACACGTGTAATCAAAGGATTCACATTTTATTTAAGATAAATGTTTCAAATTTCCTACCACTAGCTTATTAATAAACTCGGTTTGCACTATGCACTTTTTTGCAAATTTCGACGTGGGTTCTGCGCAAAAATACTGTGGACGGCGTAGCCGGAGTGATATGCACAAGAAATGTTGTATACCTTTGACATGCGGAAGCCCCTCTTCCCCGCAACACAGAAAGGAGAATTCTACTTAGTAATGGTTATAATCCCTAAGCGCGGCCGTAGGCAGAAGCAAGCGCAACAGGTGGTGGACCTAACAAAGTGCATGTTTTCAATGGATTGGAAGAAGCTGTTATTGCATTTACTGGATTGAGAACCAGAGCTTCAGGCATAGGAGGAGTTCTGGCTTGTGGTTCAACAAATCAACCAGAAGCTGACATAGATGCGCCCATGGTTACTATGCCCGA